GCGTAAATTCTTCCTATAAAATTCTTTCTGTCTGTTGATATTTCTTTCGCTTCACATGTTTAAAGCTATGCACTTAATCAGATACCTAAGTTGTGTTAAACGAAAGAGAATAAACTTGAACGACTTATCTTCAAAAATCACATATATTACTAAATGATTTGATGACTGTTTTTGCTGAGTCAACTGAACTTAGTTATATAAAATGCAAGAAGTGTTGATTTTTTATTGTGAATAGCACATATGTTAATTGAAATACGTCGTACTTATATGGAAAATACTCTTGGTATTTCATAATTTACTCAAACTGTCATTTTTCAGAAAAAAACATCTATAGTAACTTTTTTCATAAAAGTGTTATCTGATTGGTCAACTTTATGAGCCATTTTGCAGCCCAAGCGAAAATTTGTTTTTCAATTTTCTTTCAACCATTTTGTAGAGCAGAAAAAACTGCACAGTATATGTCAAATTTAGCCTGAGTATCCACGAAATGACTGAATGACAGCTAATATATTGCAAACAGTTGGCATATTTTTGTAATAGAAAATGACCAGTCATTGACAGTATTTGGCGAATAATTCTGGATGAGTACAACTGAAGCATAATATATAAATAGTCAGTTTTGTTCAGCTTTGAAAGCTCTATCTTTTGGTATATTACAATGAAGGTTTGGTTAATATTTTGTTATCTAAAAGAACTCAACTTTATATCAACGATTTTTGATGATATTTTAAAATTCAGCTCGTGATTGTTCGAAATTCGATCCGGGCTAACTTTTCACAGCTCAATGAAATGCGCTAAAAATTTTGATTTAGAGGTTTTAGATGATGCTGATTAAGATAAGAATATCAAATCAAAAAACAAAATTTTGACGAGTGCTTCGATTTCTGTATGGGCTCATGAGTGCTCTCTTAAACAATCTTTTTGTTTCTTATCTGAATGTTAATTTACAACAAAATTATCTACATTATTTCTTCTTAGAAATGATCGTTTTTCATTGTCGAATCAAATTTTCTAAAAAATAAATAATATACGTCGTTGACATGCTTTGCAACATGCTATTCTTTTATTACCTGATGAAAATCGTCTTGTATTGCATTTACTTTTTATCGTTTTTATATGATGTTTCAAAACGTTTGAAAAGAAATCACATGAGTACAATTAATTTTTGCAACATTTTTTGCTCAACATCATTGTAATTTCATAATTGTGATAGAGTTTTATCAAATGATTCGTGAACCACATAAACGGCTGAATATACTTGTTCATTTATGATTGGTCATATTCGCTAATTATTTATAGTTTCTAATGAATTATATCAAGCATGTCATTTGTGTTATATTGAAATTAGGAAACCACATACACTTAAAGAATTATCGCGTCACATTCTAGACACAACAATAAACACTCCATTTATAAATAAAGTTCCTCAATATTTATCAAAAGAACGTACAATACAACAAGGTGACAAAGAAACAGGTACAAAATCAGCATCGATTCCTATTCATTCATTATCATCATGATTAGTTGAAAATTGAACTACCACAAATAGTGGAAAGACAATTTGTCACTTTGCAGAATTCGTTGCAAA